GATGCACAAGGATTTTAATCTTGTGTCCACTGTTGCCAACCCTGAAGGAAGATTGTAAGAACTGAATTCTTCATAAACTGAAATCTGACTTGCTGTTTACCATCTATCAATTTCCCTTTTAAAATATATTTTAATGATTTTTTACAGGGAGGCAGAGAGAGGGATAGAAAATTAGAAACATCGATAGGAGAGAAACATCGATCACCTGCCTCTTGCACACCTCCTACTGGGGATGTGCCCACAACCAAGGTACATGCCCCCAGCCGGAATTGAACCTGGGACCCTTCAGTCTGCAGGCCGATGCTCTATCCACTGAGCCAAACCGGTTAGGGCGAAGAAGAATGTGTTTTTGAAGCAAATTCACCAAATATGTTATAGGATATTAATATTCAACTGCCAATGGGGAGGGGGGCATGGTTTGCTTTCTACAAGTTTCCTAATCCTCTTAGTTGCTTTTTCTTACTAATTTAAAAATAACCAACCTTATTTTAAGGACAAAGCACTTAAAATTCTTTTTTAAAAAAATTCTCACGCAAGGATATTTCCCATCGATTTTTAGAAAGAGTGGAAGGGAGGGAAGAAGGGGGAAGAAGAGGAAGAGAGAGAGAAAGTGAGAGAGAGAGAAAGGGGGAGAAAAGGGAGAGAGGTGAGTGAAGTAGCATGAGAGAATTTGTGGTAGTAGAACACTTCTCTAAATTGGATGCAGTGGTACTTACATAAATCTACACATATGATAATATTGCATAGAACTACACACACACAATAAATGCATTTAAAATTGTTGATATTTAAATAAGATATGTGGATTTTACCAGTGTCACTTGGTTTAGATATTGTACTCTAGTTATATAAGATATTACTATTGGGGAAAATTGAGTGAATGGTACAAGGGATTACCCTTTACAGTGTTGGGTGTTTTTTTTTGTGTGTGTGTGTGTGTGTTTTTTTTACAACCACCTGTGAATCTATAACTATTTCAAACTGTTTTACAAAGCTACAGTAATCAGATAATATGGTATTGGCATAAAAACCGTCACATAGATCAATGGAACAGAACACACAGAAAGAAGCAAACTCTCACACATATGGTGAACTAATATTTGACAAGGGAACCAAGGATAATTATTGGGGAAAGGATGGTCTTTTAAATAAATGTTCATAAAACTGGATAATCACAGAAGAATGAAAATGGACCCCTAACTTACACCACTCAAAACAAAATGAACTGAAAATGAATTAAAAACCTAAACATCAGACCTGAAAGCATAAAACTCCTAAAAGAAAATGGAAGAAAAAAGCTCCTTGACATTGGGTCTGCCAATGATATTTTGGATATGACATCAAAAGCACAGCAACAAAAGCAAAATCAATAAGGGGGGACTATGTTAAACTAAAGGGCTTTGCATTGGAAAAGAAACGATCAACGTAATAAATAAGAAACCTATGGAATTAGAGAAAATATTTGCAAACATATACCCGATGAGGGGTTAATATGCAAAATATATAAGGAACTCATACAATTCAAGAGCAAAACACCCACACAACCTAATTAAAATGGTCTGAAGATCTGGAGAAACAGTTTTCTATTTTTAAAAAATGTTTTTATTGATTTGAGAGAGAGAGAAGAAGGGAAAGGGAGAGAAGCATTGATTGACTGTCTGCCCCCCACCCCACCCCCCCAGCCCCGCTCCGATTCCAGCTCTGACCAGGAATCAAACTGGTGACCTGTAGCTGCATGAGATGATGTTGAGCCATGCTGGCCAGGACTAGACAGTTTTTTTTTGAAAGAAGACATATAGCCCTTGCTGATTTTGCTCAGTGGATAGAGCGTCGGTCTGTGGACTGAAGGGTCCCGGATTTGATTCTGGTCAAGGGCATGTGCCCTGACCAGGAATTGAACCATGACCTCCTGGTTCATAGGTCGATGCTCAACCACTGAGCCCTCTTCCTGGACTATTATTGATATTTTTAATCTTTTTCCTCCTCCTCCTCCACCTCCTCCTTCTTCTCCTCCTCTTCCCCCTCCTCCTTCTTCTGGAAGACTCTTTAAGTTAAACATTTCTTGTAATATTGGTTTGGTGGTAATAACCTCCTTTAGCTTTTTTTGTCTGGGAAGCTCTTTATCTATCCTTCTATTTTAAATGATAGCTTTGTTAGGTAGAGTAATCCTGATTGTAGGTCTTTGCTTTTCATCACTTTGAATCTTTTGTGCCATTCCCTTCTGGCTGCAAAGTTTCTGTTGAGAAATCAGCTGAGAGTTTTATGGAAGCTCTCTTGTAGGTAACTAACTGCTTTTCTCTTGCTGTTTTTAAGATTCTCTGTCTGTCTTTGACCTTTGGCATTTTAATTATGGTGTGTCTTGGTGTGAGCCTCTATAAATTCTTGTTTGGGACTGCACTTACTGGACTTGTACATCTTTTCATAATTATTTTTTCAAATGTTTTAAATCCCTTGCTCAATCTGTTCTCATTCTAGTACCCATATGATACAAATGTTGGCACACTTGAAGTTGTCCCAGAGGCTCTTTAAACTATTCTAATTTTTAAAAACTTTTTTATTTTTGATGTCTTTATTTTTTTTTTCTGCTTCCTTAACCTCTGCTTCATTTACTCTATTGTTGATTTCCTGTAAGGTATTCTTAATTTTAGTTAATGCAGTCTTCATTTCTGACTTGTTCTTTTTGATATTTTGTATTTTCATTTTTGTTTCCCTATCTCTTTGTTGAAATTCTCCCTAAGTTCATCTACTCTTCCCTTAAGTTTATTGAGCATCTTTATAACCATTTTTAAACTCTGCATCTGTTAGATTGCTTGTCTCTTTTTTGTTTAGTTGTTTTTCTCTAGAGATTTTTTTCTGCTCAAACTGTATACCTTTTATTTTATTTAGTTCTTTAAAAAAATAGTTTATGTCTCCATTCACCTACTGAAGGACACTAATCACGTCCAAGTTTTGACAATTATAAATGAAGCTGTAATAAATTTTGTGTGCAGGTGTTTGAGTTAATATACATTTTCAATTTACATAAGCTAATATGATTTCTGCATTGCATGGTAAGAGTAAAATTAGTTTTTAAAATCAACAAAACAGAACACAGAGTTTAGAAACAAACCCACACACGTGGCAAGTTTATTTAACAAAGATACAAAAGCAACAATAGAGAAAGGATATCCTTTTCAGCAAATAGTGCTTGAACATTTAGACATCCATCTGCAAAATAATGACCTTCAATTCATGCTTCAAACTCCCAGCAAATATCAACTTAAAATGAATCATTGAACTAGGTAAAGACCTGAAACTATAAAACTTCTAAAAGAAGTCAGAACACTTTTGTCACCTAGAATTATAAACATGAATCTGGGAACATCAAAACATCCTATATAATAAAAGCCTAATATGCTAAGTGTTCGGTTGTCTGGTTGTCTGTTCAACCAATCAAAGCGTAATATGCTAATGATATGTTAAGGCCGCTCAACCGCTTGCTATGATGTGCACTGCCCACCAGGGGGCAAACAGTTGACTGGTTGACCAGTCACTATGACATGCACTGACCACCAGGGAGCAGACACTCCAACCGTTAAGTTAGCTTGCTGCTGGAGTCTGGCTGATCGGGACTGAGCCAGATGGGCTGGACATGCCCTAGAGCCTCCCCCCCCCATCCCCCCCAGTCCCTCCCTGGCTGGCCAACCTCCTGTGTCCCTCCCTGGCCTCAATCATGTACCGGTGGGGTCCCTCCGCCTGGTCTATGCCCACTTGCAATCCAGGACCTCTTCGAAGTCGGACAGCTGGTTTCAGCCCAATCCCATTCAATGCAGGACCTGCACCCTGGTAGTCAGTGTACTCCCACAGGGGGAGCACCACTCAGCCAGAAGCTGGGCTCAGGGCTGGCAAGCCTCTCCTGCCTCTGTGGCAGTGCTAAGGATGTCTGACTGATGGACATCCCCTGAGGGCTCCCAGACTGCGAGAGGGTGCAGGCCAGGCTGAGGAAAGCCCCACTCCCTGAGTGCATGAATTTTGTGCACCAGGCCTCTAGTGATGTATAAAATAAAATATCATCAAAATTAATAATTTATACTGCTTGAAAGACACCATTAAGAAAGTGGAAAGAGTCATAGAATGAGAGATATTATGTTCAAATCATAGATCATACAGAAGGCTTGTATCCAGAGTAAAGAACTCATAAAACTTAATAATTAGAGAAGAAACTTCAATAAAAATGACTGAAATATTTGTACATAAAGAAAATGTACATATAGCAATAAGTACTTGAAAACATGCTTAACACCACTAATTATAATGAAAATGTAAATTAAACTGCAATGATGAAGCTTTAACAAGCTATTAGAATACTTATATTAAAAAAAGATAGTGTCAGGTTCTGATGAGGATGTGGAATAATGGCAGCTCATACATTGCTGGTGGAAATTCACAATAGTATAGGCACTTTGGAAAAGTTGGGCAATTTTTTAGTAAGTTAAACATATGCCTATGATGTACACCTGAAACTAATACAAAAGGATATTGAATGCCAACTGTAATTGAAAAAAATTAAAAAAATTTAAAGTAATCTTAGCTGGCTTTAAAAAATATATTTTCTTATTGATTTCAGAGAGGAAGGGAGAGAGAGAGATAGAGAGAGGAAGAGAGAGACATCAATGATGGGAATCATTCATCAGCTGCCTCCTGCACGTACCCTACTGGGGATTGAGCCTACAACCCGGACATGTGTCCTGATTGGGAACCAAACCGTGATCTCCTGATTCATGGGTTGACGCTCAACCACTGAGCCATGTCAGCTGGGCTTAGCTGGCTTTTTAAAGGTAGCAATTGATAAGTTGATCCAGCATTTATATGAGTATACTAAAGCCCTATTTTTGCTATAACCATTTTAAAAATAAAAAATAAATTTGGAGGACACTGCCATGCCCCCATAACCAAATATGCTTATCCTATGACCTGGCAATCTTATTAGTCTTAGATTTTTAGCCACATGAAGTATAAATTTAATTTTCACTTCCAATAAAATATATGAATTTTTTAAATTTAAATTCTTTATTGTTTAAAGTATTACATAAGTCTCTTCCCCCCCTCCATTGACCTCTCCCCAATCACTCTCACCCCCCAGAACATGCCCTCACCCCACTAGTGTCTGTGTCCATTGGTTATGCTCATCTACATGCATACAAGTCCTTTGGTTGATCTCTTTACCACCCCCCCCACCCCCTTCCCTCTGAGGTTGGACAGTCTGTTCGATGCTTCTATGTCTCTGTTGTTCATCAGTTTATGTTGTTCATTATATTCCACAAATGAGTGAGATCATGTGATATTTATCTTTCTTCGACTGACTTATTTCCCTTAGCATAATGCTCTCTAGGTCCATCCATGCTATGGCGAATGTTAAGAGTTTCTTCTTTTTTTATAGCAGTGTAGAATTCCATTGTGTAATGTACCACTGTTTTTTAATGCACTCATCTGCTGACGGGCACTTAGGTTGTTTGACCGGAATTGAATGTAGTCCTATTTTTTTAATCTTCTCCTTAGTTTCCATTGGCTCTATCCACTGAGCCAAACCAGTCAGGGTGGGAGTTCCATTTTTAGTTTTTTGAGAAAACTCCATACTGCTTTCCACAGTGGCTGTACCAGTCTGCATTCCCACCAGCAGTGCAAGAGGGTTCCTTTTTCTCTGCATCCTCACCAGAGAATATCTAACTTGTCATTTGTTGATTTGTTGATGAAAGCCATTCTGACCAGTGTGAGATAGTACCTCATTATCATTTTGATTTGCATCTTTCAGATGGTTAGTGACTTTGAGCATGTTTTCATATGTCTCTTGGCCTTCTGTATGTCTTCTTTTGAAAAGTATCTATTTAGGTCCTTGGCCTATTTTTTGATTGGATTTTTTATCTTCCATTTGTTAAATTGTATGAGTTCTCTGTAACTTTTGGAGATTAGACCCTTATTGGAAATAACATTGACAAATATGTTCTCCCATGCAGTGGGCTTTCTTGTTGTTTTGTTGATGGTTTCTTTTGCTGTGTAGAGCTTTTTATTTTGATGTAGTCCTATTTTTTTAATCTTCTCCTTAGTTTCCATTGTTCTAGGAGCTGTATTGTAAAGATATTGCTACGACGTGTGTTTGATATTTTCTGCCTTTGGATTCTTCTAAGATTTTTATGGTTTCCAAGTCTTATGTTTAAGTCCTTTATCCATTTTGAGTTTATTTTTGTGTATGGTGTAAGTTGGTGGTCTAGTTTCATTTTTTTTGCATGTTATCTGTCCAATTTTCCCAACACCATTTATTGAAGAGACTGTCTTGCCGCCATTGTATACACTTGCCTCCTTTGAAAATATTAATTGGGTATAATGACGTGGGTTGATTTCTGGGTTCTTTGTTCTGTTCCATTGGTCTATATGTCTGTTCTTGTGCCAGTACCAGGCAGTTTTGAGAACAGAGGCTTTGTAATGTAGCTTGATATCTTGTATTGTGATCCTTCCAACTTTGTTCTTCTTTCTCAGGATTGCTGCTGCTATTTGGGGTCTTTTTTTTATTCCATATGAATTTTTTTTGGAGAGTTTGTTCTAGGTCTGTGAAATATGGCATTAGTATTTTAATGAGGATTGTATTGAATCTATAGATTGCTTTGGGTAGTATGGACATTTTAGCAGTTTTCATTCTACCAATCCATGAACACGGTATATTCTTCCATTAGTTCATGTCTACTTCATTTTTTCTTTTGAATACAGCTTTATTTATCTCACAAACTTTGGTATTAAGCATTCTTTCATTTTCTTTTTACATAGTACTTAATTTTACTTTTGATTTCTTTGGTATAGGACAGTGATGGCGAACCTATGACACGCATGTCAGAGGTGACACGTGAACTCATTTTTTTGGTTGACTTCTCTTTGTTAAATGGCATTTAAATATCTTAAATAAATATCAAAAATATAAGTCTTTGTTTTACTATGGTTGCAAATATCAAAAAATTTCTATATGTGACATGGCACCAGAGTTAAGTTAGGGTTTTTCAAAATGCAGACATGCCAAGTTCATGTCTACTTCTATCTCTTTCTTCAATGTCTTGTAGTTTTCCAAATACACGTCTTTTACCTCCCAAATATATGAAATTTTTATAGCTTTATTTTTAATTACAAAAACCTGAAAAAATCCCAAATGTCCTTCAAATGGAAAATGGGTGAAATGCTATGGTTCATCCATACATTGGAATACTGCTGGCAATGGAAAGGAATGAGCTACTAACACAAGTACAACATGAATAAAATTTAAATGCATTATGCTAAGTGAAACAACCTAGACCAAAAGGCAACATAAAGTATGACTCCATTTGTAAGACATTTTAGAAAAGGCAAAAGTGTAAGCACAGAAAACAGAAAAAAGGCTACCAGGGCTGGTGGGAGTTGATTAAAAAGGTACACATGGGTGTTTTTTGGGAGGGTGATGGAACAATTCTATATTTTATTGTGGTAATTGTATGTTTATTGAAACTCACAGACATGAACTAAAAATAATTAATTTCATTGTATTAAGTTGTATGTTTAAGACATAAAAAATGTAATGATGAAAAATGGTACCTTAACTTTGCATATTGCTATTGGATTCCATTCAATTTTTTGGAAAACACATATTTCCTAGAATTTCTAAAAGGTGCATTAAGAAACTTTTTGTACACAAAAAAAAACATATTCAGCCTGGGTAGGAACAGTCACTCCTACATACATGCAGTAAAAAATTTCAGCACCTCTCCTATAGTACACTAGAGGAAATATAGCAACTGTGTCTTAATGCTCATGTTCATAACAAGTTTATTTATACTATCAATTACTTGGATATAAACATTCAATAATAATGCACTTATTCAACTTAATATTTATGTAATGTTCTGGATGCCAAAGGAAAATACTTGTTATACAACATTACATTAAAAAGCTGGATATAAAATAGTTTCTCAATCCTATCTAATAAAAGAGAAACATGGTAATTATCGTACGACCGCTACCCTTCCCATTGGCTAATCAGGGCAATATGCAAATTAACTGCCAGCCAAGATGGCAGCCGGCAGCCAGGCAACTTAAAGCGAACATGAGGCTTGCTTGCTTCAGTGATGGAGGACTCCAGCGTTCCCCGCCTGCCGCTGCAGGCCTCTGAGCTGCAACTCTAAGCAGCTATGTAACAAACATAGAAGCGAAACAAAACCCCAGAAACCTCATTTAGTCCTCCAGGCTTCAGCCAGCAGGATCA